CTTATCTTGATGACTTTCTCTATCCCCGAGAGCAGGTGCATCGATTAATTACGGCTCCAGCTTAGTAATGAATGACATAGACACTTTTGTCGGTTAGTTAAGTCAAATAGCTTTTTGAGAAACGTGATCCCTAGCTGGTTTTCAAATGCAGTTATTTTTTATTAAATTCCATTATTTATTTTGTTTAGCTTTCACATATAGTTATCTTTAAGAAAAAAGCTACACTATTTATTTTTTTTACTTTATTTTTTGTTTGCGAATTTTCTTTAATTTTATATTCGCTAGTACAAAAAAAGAGAGATGTTTTCATTGATTGATTGATTGATTTGTGTTAAACTCCCATTTCAGCACTATTTTGCTTTTTCGTGGCGGTCACTTTTTTATTGGTGGAGGAAGCCGGAGTGCCCGGAGAGAACCACCTATCTTCGGTAGGAAAAATGACAAGCCTAGTCAATTAAGATTGGAGTCGAGCGCACCTGCCACGTCCGGGATTCGAACTCCCAGCCTCAATGTTTTAAAGGCTAGTGATACAGTAGTTTAATTGACTTCTTAGACCACTCGGCCACCTAGGTCCCTGGATGTCTTGAAAAAAGATGATGAAAAACAAAACGAACAATAAAGATCATAAGTCGGATAAAAGAAAGACTACACCATCATGACCAAAAAGAAAAACGACTCAAGGGGAAAACTTTCAGTCAACAAAACACTAAGTAAGCAGATTCTGCTCTATAGTCGTAACCGTCGTGTCATTTATTAAAAGTACCAACTCTGTGATATGTCCTATTCGGTTGTGACCAAATCGAGGAAATGAGGATAGTATTGTTAATACGGACAAAGATCTTCCATAACATAGAACAAAATCCTGATGGCATCCGTAAATGACGGTACTAGTAGTTTACGGATGTTACAATCTTATAAACCTATCAATAAGTTATATGAATCAAATTTACATACACAAACTTTAATAATCGGATTAACTCCAAAACGGGCGAGACCGGCTGCGTAGTCAGAGTAATAGTCTCATGTTATGCATGCATCAACCGCCACGTGAATCCACGATTAGTCTTGATACCAAAATCGGAAAAAGGACACATTCCGTAAAAAGTAAAATAACAAAAATACCGAACTCAATGGAAAATTCAAAACGGAAAGTCCCTTCACAAATGTCAAAATCAAAAGCTCAAACACATCAAACGAATGGAAAACTGTCATATTCCTGACCGGATACAGGCATTTCCTTATGTAGAAAATGGTGGATTAAAGCTGGTATTATAGCTAGCTTAACCTTTCACTTGTATGAAAATACCATGTCGCTAGTGATTTGAGAATCAGGTACATCATATCAGTCAACCAAATCGTGATGGGTACTGCAAAACCTTATGTGTGGTCGAGTTTAGTCATTCTTCCTAATAACTGTTGGATCAGTTTTTTGTAAAAGGATAATGTTACTCGTAGAGTGTAAAAATGCGCGAGCGTCACGTATACTTTGGAATGATGTTATCGTCATAAGATGGGGCAGAGGTTGAGATGCCAACTTCAAATTGGAACTTTACAATTAGAACTTTTATCAGATTCTAGTTTCAAGTCGTTCATCTGTGTCAGAAGCAGACCTTCCAGTTTAGGTAGCATCCTTAATCTCAAGTTCACTTGGTTGATTAAGATGCAAGCACTCACTGACATGTAGGTTTTTCAGTAAGATGAAATCATCAATTTATCAGAAAATGAATTCAAAAACTTTCCACGATGTTTTTCTGTCCATGTGAAGGTTCTGTATGAATTTTACGTCATATTAGTGCAAAAACACGTCGGTCAGTAGAAGTGTACAATTAGTACCCATTGCAATACCGACTGTTGTTGAAATATCAATTCACCAAACTAAAAAATATGCTGTCGACAAAAGGCCACCATTTGAATGATATGATCTTGGTATCAATGTTTCTGAAATCATCGTGGTTCTTCACAAAGTAAGATTTTTCGTGACTTAATACAAGGAATTTGTATCTAAGATTTGTACCTACGATTCCAAAGAAAAAGCACTAATAAATGATGCAATGTAAACGATATTTCAATTGAGCAAGAGAAAAAGTATTGCAAAACGTAGAAAAGCAAATGTTTTGATATAACTGCTAATGTAAATCGTGAAGACTAGGATTGAAAATTGGGGAACGATCTTTAGAATTTTTAAGAATCAACATCTGACAGCGCTGGTTGAATATACTCAGAACAATATTTCTGAAGGTTATCCATCTTTTACTGTAGAAAAATGGTGTTGAGAACTTTATAAATATGTTAACACGAATATCTTGACACCCCTGCTAGATATAATTCTTCATAAGGATGTTTGCGAAATTAAAGAATCCAGTTTCATGACGGGATATTTTCATCATCATTTTTATGTTAATACCAATAGAAAACACGGACTGATTTTTGCTTTTCTAATATATGTCTTTCAAGAATGATGCATGGGTATACAACTTTCATAAAAATCAAAGGAATTACTTAAAAGCTCCGATTTGAAACCCTTGGTTCAATATGTTCTTTTAAACATCAGCACTATATCAAGGAAATCATTATTAGAAACACAAGCCGCAGAATATTGTACCAAATATGAGATATATACTCGATATAACGGAGTTAATTTTGATAAAATGTTATAACAACATGAACGGTACCAATTTTAATGCACCAAATGCGCTTTTCGACAATTAATGTCTCTTCAGTGATGCTCGAGGCCAAAATATTTGAATATCCAAAATCTAATACAAATATCGCGGATCAAATAAGTGTATAAGTGTCAGATTTGAAAAATTATTTAATGTTGTTTCTTTAAGTTTATAATAGTAAATCATCTAATGCGATATACCAACTGGTTTTTTCTATGAATTAGTAACCCAACGGGTGCTACTAGTGGGACTTAAACAGCATTCAAGGGGACCTGATCATGAGTTCAGCCCCAAGTTTTGTTGGGTCAATATTTCTTAATCTTTCGTTTTATATGTAGTGTTCTGTGAACTGTTGTTTGTCTTTTTTTTTCGTTTTACTATTGTGTTGTTTTTTCCCTTAAAGTTTTATCCCCCCCCTTTTTTTACTTGCTTGTATCTTCTATCAATTTCTTTGTTTATGAAATATTTTATGGTATTAATTGGTCTCGTCTGTGCCTAATATTTACTTTAAAATTTTTATTTTAAGAAGGAGTCATGAGGACTTTCTGTAAATAAAATTATAATTGTGACGTAATGCGTTAAGCATGCTGGGACAATCATTCAACTACATCCAGAACAGTACCATGTGATTTGAATACCAATCTAGTTCTGTACATATTTAGCCTGGTTTTGAATGATCTATATTTTACAGTTACTGTGTGTAGGAATCCCAGCTGTTCAGGCTTTAAATGGAAATACAGTTTTATGCTTTGCTTAGTTAAAATCGTCCAGAAGTCAAACTCGCGACTCGAGCGAGCACATAACCACGAGACAGCCAAGGACTCTAAAGCTTACTAAATAATATTTACTAGTATTCAATCAATTCTCGTAACTGTTGTAACCATTTAATATTAAACTTTGAAGATATCTCAAATGCAATAATCACATATAAAATGAACAAACAGTTTCTCGCTTCACTTTTGGTTTCTTGTACTAAGTGGCGTTAGCATGATTAGAAAAACAATTGATTATTGAATTTGATAATCGGATTTAACATTAATCAATACTCTCTATTCGCACTTCCAAAATACTAAATTTCAAAATTATACTTTGATAAGAATTATTGCCAGGGCCGACAAAAAGTAGCAATTCGATTCGCTGCATTGAAAATTAATGGTTAATGGAAGAATAATAATTGCAGATTAATTCATTATATTAATAGTATAAGCTTAATAATCGAGTTCTGTAAAAGTATATAAAGGTTTGAAAATGTCTTTTCTTTAACGCTACTTTAGGAGATATATTCTGTTATATTTTTACAGCAAATGCGTATGTATTCTTTAGGTAACTTCTCATATGTGTAGTTCTTCACCTTTGTCGTTTGAAATGTATTTTATCAAAATTGTGGTGTAGTCCATCCGTATTTTGTCCTATTCATAAAATTTCCACATGAATATTTATCCAACAATTATATTGGTGTACCGTAACTGTCTGAAGGGTTTTTTTTGCTTTTGTATTTTACCGAAAGATTGTCAGGCACATTTCAATTTTTTTATGCCACTTAGGGGCATTATGTTTTTCGGTCTGTTCGTCCGTTCGTTCGTCCGTCCGTTCGTCTGTCCGTTTGTCCGTCCGTTAGTCCGTCCGTTTGTCCCGCTTCAGGTTAAAGTGTTTGGTCAAGATAGTTTTTGATGTCCAATCAACTTGAAATTTAGTACACGTGTTCCCTATGATATTATCTTTTTTAATTTTAATGCCAAATTCCCCAAACGGTCCACTGAGCATAGAAAATGATAGTGCGAGTAGAACAATCATGTACTATGGACACATTCTTGTTTAAACATGTTTTTATTCTGCTGGTATGATTGTGAACTTTTATGATATTACCAATAATCTATGTTCGTAAGTAAACAGCTGTAGCGTTATTTACCTTAACCAAAGAAACCCATTCAAAAGGCAGGCTCTTGGTGCCGTTTTGAATTTTCATTACAGGATTTTGTGTCATTAGATTATACACCATAACCTTTCTTTGCGAATACCTATTTTGTTCTTTTTTTAAATATTTTTATAACTCCTTAATTCCACAATGACTGTCTTTTATTCCTTTTTGTCTGATGTAATAAGATCAATTTTAACCTTAATTTTTGGCAAAAGTCTTACGGACTTTTATATTTGTTTACTCCAAACGACGATTGATGCACTTATGCATAACCAATAATGGAAAATTTACAAAAATTGTATATTTTTAGAAATAGGGAAATCTTATTAAAGTTATCAATTCATGCAATCTTGCGTTCGTATTTTGTATCCTGGTTCATTGTGTATGATTGTTAATGAATTTAGACATAGAAGGTAAAAAAATATGTCGCACAGCAAAGATAAGGAATATACCGAAAATCTTTCCGTTCATAGAAATTCAACTCTGCATGATAGCCAGGAACTTCATGATGATAGTGATACAACTCACATCCCCTTCTTAACTGATGATAGTATCCAAAGGTCCGTACAGAAAGAGGATGGCACTGATAAGGGATATGCTTGGTTTATCTTGATAGGTATGCGTTAGCTATTTTTTATAGTTAGATTACTTTTCTTTTTATGAAGAAAAGGGTACTTTTAAATTTTGTACTAGTGTAAAATTTTAAAGTCAATATTCATTAAATATGCTATGTACAACATTATGTATTTTTATACGTTATTGTCTAGTTAAATACATCTGAAATTTACTTTCATCTTTTTTTTATTATTTAAGAGCGTAATTTGCCTGAGTGAATTATAATTTTCAATACGTATTTGATTTCAGAACGGACATGTGTAGATTTCACTATGACTAGAACTATTTTTATTAAGAATTAGTTTCGATTTTTTTAAACTGTTTACTGAAGAACATAGATTATGGATAATATCATAAAAGTTCACAATCAAAATTTATTTTGTTCCTTTTTGTCTGATGTAATAACCGAAATTATTTTAACCTATATTTTGGCAAAAGTTTTACAGACTTTTGTTTACTCCAAACGAGGATTGATGCACTAATGCATAACCAATAATGGAAAATTTATTTTGTTCCTTTAAGACTTTTGCCAAAAATATAGGTTAAAATTTTTGTTCTTACATCAGACAAAAAAGGAACAAAATAAAAAATAATTTTATTCCTGTAATAAAAGTTCAAAACGGCACCAAGAGCCTGCCTTTTGAATGAGTTTCTTTGCTTAAGGTAAATAACGCTATAGCTGTTTACTTTAAAATACTCTTTATTAAGTAAGGTCGATTATAGTTTCAATATTGTTGATGCAGCGGTTTTCTTGAAATAAACCGTTTTGTCATTTGCCTTGGTTTGCCATGGCATAAACGTTTCATTTTCGACTTATGAGCTTGACTATCCCTTTTGTATCTTTCGCTTCTGTTAACTCACCAACCAGCTAAAGAAAATTTACAGGATCATCGTAAAGAACATTAAACCGGGACATGTTGTTCTTTGTCTGATGACAACGATGTCACGGAGGACACGTCGGACGAGGAAGTCTTAGCTGGCTTCAGGCATAGTTCAACAAGTAGATGTAGTATTCATTTTCTATTTCAACTTATATTTCTGAAATCGATAAAACATATTATTCAATCTGCATTTAATACATTTATAATCAGTTAATTTTGAAATAAGTGTATATGATCAAACTATATAATCAAAATAAATAGACTTTATATAATTTTCCATTACCTTCTTGAATAAAATACAGAACAAGTTTGGGTTTTTTTTCTGCGGCTTTTGTTGGGACATGGCTAATGATTTTTTTAATAATCAGTGATATAAAAGTACATGCCAAATTGAAAGTTTCTTTACCCTGATATACAAATATGATTCAAGAAACTTCAGTTTATAAAATGGAAATTCACAGAAAACTATTTTTCTTTCCCTATTGTAAGTTTTCCTTTTTTGGACGGTGGCACCATCTTACGGTGTTTATATATCTTGTTCCTCTGGCACCATCTTACGGTGTTTATATATCTCAACTCGTTCGTTATGCCCGTGTCTGACGTTTTGGATTTCAATGAGCGTAATCTATGCATTACTGGTAAATTATTAAGTCAGGGATTTCGTTTCCTTTAATTACTTAAAACTTTTTCTAACTTTTTCCATAGATTCAAAGATTTGGTTTGCAAGTTTGGCTGTACCTTTAGAAAACTTATTTCAAACGGAATAGCACACCCTAAATTTTACGGCGATGTTGTTAACGATCCGGGTATATTTATAAATTCTTTAAATAAACTTATTCTAAAAGGTTACATATTCAATACTGTAATTAAATCTTTGAATATTGTTTTTATTGATATTAACATTGATTTCGTTATCAGTAAATTGAAACCCTACTAAATTTTACACATATGTACTTTCACAGTACTACAATCTGTCGATACTTATATTTTGGCATTGCACAAGGTCATGTTTTTCTCTGACTGGTAATGACGTCTTTACACTTAACCATTGGATGCTGGATGTGTACTGATTGATATTTTAGTCTTAGATACATGCTTTTTTTATTAGTTTTTATTGGCTTTGAACTAGCTGTCAGTAACTGCGAGTACTCTCAGATATATAATTAGTGTCTTTTTTGTTGTTAGGTATGTGGGATGGATATATACCCTGCCACGTCCTGTCTGTGTTTTTGTTTGACGTTTTTCTTTGTATCGATCTGGTGAGTTTAGCCTTTTTCAACTGATTTTTAGAGTTTGTTCTTATGTGGTGCTGTTACACCACTGTCCCAGGTTAGGGGAGGGTTGAGCGCTCACAAAACTATTTAACCCCACCACATTCTTTATGTGCCTGTCCCAAATCAGGAGCCTGTAGTTCAGTGGTTGTCGTTGGTTGACGTCTATCATATTTGTTTTTCGTAAATTGTTTTGTTATAAATTAGGCCGTAAGTTTTCTCAATTGAATTGTTTCATATTTTTCATGTCGGGGCCTTTTATAGCCGACTATACGGTATGGGTTTTTCTCATTGTTGAAGGCCGTACTGTTGCCTATAATTGCTTATATCGACTTCATTTGAACTTTGGTGGATAGTTGTCTCGTTGACAATCATACCACATCTCCCTTTTTTTATAAGTGTTCCCTAAGTACAAAAATTATGAAAAAAACAATCAACTGGAAAAAGCGCAACCGTATCTTGCTACATGTACAAGAAAATACCATTATATACATTTATAATGTTGTCCCGCAAAAATATAGGATTGTAGGAATCCATTAAGATTAATCGTAGTCGATAATATTGTATCCCTAAAAAATAATAAAAATAATTTTCGGCAAAAATGTTTGAGGAGCATACAATATATAGTCGGAATTAAACAAGAAATTTTTGGGACAAATAAATAATGTTTTAACAGTAATCTCAGAAGGGGAGAGATGCATTACTATGTTCAAATGCTTAGGTTAAAGAGACTGTCAAATTATATCATTTTCAAGCTCTTTATGAGAAATGCCAGTTTTCAAATGAAAGATTACATTATTCGCTTTCAGAAAATGAAATAAATTTGTAGGTGAAAGACGATTTCGAAACTTTTCAAGTTAGCTGATGGAATATAACAGATTATAAGGGATATCAAAACTAACACATAAGTGAATAGATTATGAACTGAAATGGCCATCTTTAAAGACTTAAAATAAATGTATAAGTCATGTTCAATTTTTTTAGTATTATTTCAACATATCCACTGCGCTGATTACAGTACTAGTCAGACATTTTGTTAACTGTCAAAAAAAATTGTTAGATTATTTTAAGGATCTTTATTAGCTGTTACAATGTATTTGCCTGTTTAAAACACTTTGTAATACTTACTATATGACAGAATCATACTGGGATTACTACAAATACAGTATATAAAGAAAAACCCAAGAATTTACATGTTATGCAAATTAGACAGTACAGATGGTATGAAGATCAGAAAGGCAGTTTCAGATTAAAACTCCATTTACTGATGAGTGACGTTTATCAAGGACTTTTATAGTACATTTTCAAAACGATAATCATTTGGTGTGATTGTTCACGAAATTTGAAAATTCGTTCTTAATTATATGCATTGAAGTTAAGTGTATTTGTGGTTTCCTGTCCTTACAATATTTATAAACATATACAAACAAACAAACAAACAAAAAAGTCATTTAATTTATATGAAATGTTCTGATGCAAAATATATATATTTGCTTAATTTCAGTTAGTTGTATCGTCTACATTATTGTGCCTGGTAGTGTAAAATCTTTTGGTGTGCTGTACACAGAACTGTTAGACTACTATGATGGCGGAGCTGGAAATACGGCAGGAATTCCGGGAGTCCTTTTATTTCTCTACTTTGGACTAGGTAAGATATATGGAAAATTGCGTCACTTTTATTTCATTCTATGAAATGTTCATCTAATGTGTAATTTCTTTTTAAACGTCGTTGTTTCCTGATAAAGTATTCAAGTTAAATTCATGACATTATATTGGAAATGTTTTCATCTCCTCAATTTTAATCTTTCTCAATTTTTTTTTCAAATATCTTAGCCTCGATAATCACCAAAGAGACATTTATTGGCGAAATGCGCATTTGGTGCAGTAGCATTGGTACCGTTAATGTTATTACATTTGGTTTTTTTTTCTATTTTTATATTAGCAAAATTACTATATTTCATCATGTTCAAATCTATTAACTAGATTTCATCATTTCATTATTGTTATATTCCTAGCTCCTGTATCCAACTATCTTGGTGAAAGATATACATACAGAGTGGTAATAGGGATAGGAAGCTGTTTAGTACTGATAGGTCAGACTGCAAGTGCGTTTGTGCCTCAACTAGAATTCCTTTATCTCACCTACGGGATAATTACAGGTAAATTGTATTTCATTTCTCTGTTTCCGGATTTTAAATTAGGATTTGAAGGTCAAACTATTCACACTATGTGGTCATGGATTTGTTTTCTAAGATAATCACACTTAATTAATATATATTTAGGCCATTCTGATAGGGTTATACAAGGCTAACACCACAAATTATACTTACTACAATATATGCTTAAAGCCCAACTTCTTTTCATCGGCAAATTTGTTGTTGCAAATTGTTGTCCTTTTCTCAGTAGCATTTAAACCCATGCTTCTGTGACACGACGGTAAATCCGCTTGCACTGCGTCCAGCCACGTAGGCCGCTCGGTCAACCAGGATGTATGGTATGAATATAGCTTACGATACTGGAGTGATGACTGTCCTCGTCGATTTTTATCATGAATTGTCAGTTAAGGAGACATGTTTACCGATGTTCAACTTTCGTAAATCGATTAGGAAGAGACACATCAAGGTAACAAACAGAAAATGAGGAAATCGCATGACCTCCAAAAGGAGCCAGACCGGTAGTGTCGACAGGGTAAGCGTCTCCTGATATGCATTTATCACCTGCCAGAGTGACAGAACATCATCAATATATCTGAAAATTGAATAAAAGAACTTTGCAGGATGCTTTTTCTCTAGCTTTGTCTTTGAGAAGGTTCTATATGATTCTGCTCCAAATGAGTACAAAACAAGTCGGTCAATAGTTGTGCACATTGGAATACCGACTGTCTGCTGAAATAATAATCCACCAAACTCCTCAATTAGGTTGTCGATCAAAAATTCATAGTAATGATTATATCTTTGGTGCATTTGTTGTGGGAATCAGTGTCGTTCTTCACAAAGTAAGACATCACGGTTTCCCATTTTTGTAGACAAAGCTCTGTTAAATGAGATGATGAAGTCGAACATTGAGAATAGTATCTGTTAAGCGTAGAAAATCAAAGGGGTTTGTTAATTCTGTAAATTGTAAATATACATGATATATAAATAGGGTGATATGTTATGATTGCCAATGACACAACATATTGAAGATTTTAGAGTAGATCTGTAGAATTTTTAAAACTCCACACCATTAAATATACCTCATCACACTATTTCTAAAGGCCATCTTCTACGATGGAAATAATGGTGGTAAGATGTTAAAAAGATGTTAAGTCGAAAACTTTACGAATCGGCTATACAGGGTTTTTATGAGGATTATGTGAAGTTTAGGTATCCAGTAAAAATATGAGACATTGTAACATTGTGACTACATTTGTACATTTTCAAGAGTCATATATGTAAATCAGAAATACTTATGACAAGTGATTACATTTGTACAATTTCAATGGTCAACATCGAAATTTCAAAATAGCACCAGACGGATTAAATGTTATGTCGTTATGATTTGATCAGTTTATGGGTCTTTTTTAATTCAATGATAGAATGTTACAATGGTCTTCCGAATTTTATATGTATCTAGTTGATGGTACGACTATTGTTTGTTCTTAGATACCAATAAAGCTGCATCATCGAAAAACGCAATGAAAACAACCATTTTAGAATTAGTTACTAAGCATTTGTTTATCCTTAGTACGGGGAATTTCTTCTAGGTCTTCATTACTTGTGGATAAGTAATATATTTTGACAAGGCGAGGTGTTTACAGCTGTTTACGGACTTCTGACCTTGATGGAATGAATAAATGCGGTTAATTATATATATATATAATTTGAAACTGATTTAAAAAGTCCAACGGTGGTAAAAGGTTCAAGATTGAAATCCAAAGTTGAGATAAGTTAAGACAGAATACACACCTTTATAACGAAAAATGGACATGAGCGTATACATTATTTCGTGTCAATGAAGTACATTGAACGGCATAATTGCTAATTCTAAGCGCTGCATTACAGTTGTCTTTTAAAATATCTCAGATGATATTATTTTAATTACCTTCAGGACACGTCGTTAAAGCACAGACCGGATTTTTTTTTTTTTTTTTCATTTAATCCATAGTGTGGCTGTTGTAATTGATTTTGCCTTAACTTGACGTTTAATTTCCCATTTCCCTTCATCCATGTCCAAAAGAAGTCTTTTTTGCGTTCTAGTGTTGTTTTCTCAATTGGGCTATTCCAGAAATATTCTGTCCCCCCCCCCCCCCTATGGAAGACATAAGATGTAAAAAAAAAAATCCATGGAAATATTTCCGGGAATTCCAGATTTTAAACGCATTATAAAACTTAAATATACTGGAATTTTTTTCATGATGCTGGAAATTTGTCTGGAAATTTTAGTGTAAAGATTAGAAGCAATACCTATGGAAGACATCGATTTTATTTCTTTTGTCTGGAATTTATCTGTTTTTTTTTTCTAAATGTGCCAAAAAAACTGGAATTTTATACTTAGTAAGTAACATATATGCAGCCGTAACCAAAAGAAGTGTGTTTAAAAGTTAAGCGCAAACAAATCCCTGACTAGAAGAACTGTTAGCCAATATGTTTACCAGTGTATATAAAGTCTTGTCATTGCAGACAAATACACCACTATCCCAGGAGAATTTGGATCCAGCACATACGTTTTTTAACCTCACTGCATATATTTTCTATATATATATATATCTGTCCTAAGTCAGAAGCCTGTAATTTAAGTGGTTGTCGCTTATTACTGTATTTCATATTTGTTTTTCATTTATTGTTTTGTATATCAATTTGGCCATTAGTTTTTCTCATCTGTATTGTTTCACACTGGTCATTTTCAGGCCCATTCTAGCTTACTATGCTGTGTGAGCCTAGGCTCCATGTTGAAGGCTGTACTTATTGGTTTCATATAACAAGTGAGAATTGAAATTATATTGCTTGATTTCAACTGGAGTTATTTAATTTCAATATAATAATAAAGTAGCCTGTGGCGAGTTTATTATTAGTAATTAAATTAAATAACAAGAGTTGATATCAGCGATATCCAATTTTCTCAAGTTATTAAACCTATTTCTCTTATGGTCAACACTCTCAAAGTGTAAAATTAAAAATATGTAGTTTTACATTATTACATATTTTTAATGTTAATTAGGTGAAAATGTCTAAACAATGGGATTAAAAGCACAAACAGCAAGTTAATAGCTGGTAAGAATGCCTATGGGAAAATTAATAGAGAGATAATTGATTTGACCACTATTGGATACATTTACAACTGTTGTTTTACCACTTCAAAAGATCCTGACATCTGATTAGTTTCAGACACTTGTGATATAAATAGGCAAGTGGAAAACTTGACCTTCATCTAAATTTCCAGATTTGATCATATATAATGAAGCTTGAAATAGTGACCATGGTGAACTTTTTAGCATCTCATCCCTACCACTAAATAAATAGTAATTGAAATTGGATTTCCTGTTTAAAAATGCAAATTCTTGCTAAAGTTCACTGATGAATGCAATAATCATTCCATAAATCTTCAAAGATGAACCCTTCGAAAAATACTGATGTTTTAGATATGAAATGCTTTTGAAAGAATACTGAAAAATTCCAATATCTTCATAAAAACTCAAACCACCCAATTTTTTAAGAAAAAGAACAAAGTTGAAAATAGATGTAATGTATCATTCATTACATATTATCATTCTCAAGCAGAAAAACTTCAAAAAGTATTCAGGAAATACTGGCATCTTTTTAAAACAGATACTACAATTGATGCCCAATCCCATAAAAACCTATCAATAGGATTCAAAAGAAATAGAACATTGGTGAATTAGTGAAATGAGCTATAAAATTATTTGTATGAACATCACAGTTCCTACAAAATATTTCACTGTGCAGAACTAATTAATGACCATCATCATGTAAACCACACAAGTAAACTGATATTCTTAGGACAAAATTCTTACCATGAAACACTTAATTCAACATTAAATTTTATTGAAATACATGTAGGTTGAAATAGTTAGAAAATCAAAAAATCAAAATTCAAATTTAAATTAACAAATCAAAAAACTATAACAATTATTATTATTATTATACAGTATTTATAACAGCGATTTATATAATATTAAAATTACCCATAGCGCTTTACAACATATATCCATTCACATATATAAGTATTAACAATAAAATATGAAAGCCCATGTTATAAAATCCTAAAACAAACAGATTTTAAAAATATTGCAAATAAAACTATACTATGAAATTTACTGATAAACAATAAAATTTATATAAAATGGGCATGGTAAAAATACCATAATAATAAATAGAAAAAGATATTAAATTTTTTTTTTAAACTTTGAACAGTAATAAAAAAAGAAATAAATGAAAAAAAAAAACAATAGGGGTGGTCTCTGATGAAGGTTTCCCTTTAATTATAAATACAATTCCGGAAAAAACCAAAACATTGCTACATAGCACAGTATCCATGAAAGGCCAGAGATATGATTTGCACCAAAATGTGTGGATATTGGATCAAATTCTATGAAATTATCCCTAATCACAGAAAATGATATTTGGATGTTTAATTTGTACTCTTAATTTATCTTGTCAACTAAAAAATTGTGTCTTTTTGAATTAAAATGTTGCTTATTAGATTAGTGCTAGCTCTATAAGGCAGCCCCCCCCCCCCCCCTAAATACACTTCTGCATATGACCCTGTGTATCTCTTCGATTTAAATTATTGTAAGATATGTTTTTATCTTTAATTTATTTATATATAAAAATTAATCAAAATTTGTTCAGGGTTCTATTTCTTGATTTACAAGAAAGCTTCTGTCTAAGTTTTGTAAAATTCCACAAAGGTTTGACAAAAGTTATTCAAAATCTTTCACTTACCTAAATGTTGACTGTGAAATAATATTTATTAGTAAATTATGGAAGAATGGTCGGAAAATACAAAATTTTACTCTACATGTCGGGTATTTATCAAGTATGAAGAAACTAATCATCAGTAATATTGAGAAGAGATAACAAAAAAAAACCAACTATTTTTTTCTTAATTGCAATGTTTTTGTCAAGAAGAAACTTCTGTCCTTGTTCTTGAAATTCTATAGTTATTGATATCTTAATACTTAACCCAATACTATATCTAAATAATAACTTCAAATATGCCATTTATCTGTAAAATATAAGAAATGAAACAAATATTTTAAAATTTTACTCTTGATCTTGAAGAAGCTATTTATATCATTCCAGGGGCCTTAGTGCCCAAGAGGTCTAAGTATTCTAACTACTGTATATTTAGCCTGTCAACTATGAGGTTTTGAATCCCGCACATGGCAGGTGCCCTAAACTCCAATCATTATTGACTAATTTGTTAGTTTTTCTACCGAATGTCATGGTTCTCTATGGCTTCCTCCACCCAATAAAAACTGACCGCCACAAAATAGCACAATAGTGCTGAAGTGGCATCAACACCAATCATTCAATCAATATATCAATCATTCCATAATGCTTTAACAAAGTTATTTTGAAGTCTAACAAACCACATTATTGATACCAGGCTTAAAATTGTGAACACCAGACTAGGGTTTTATCTACAAAAGACTCAACAGTGATGCTCGAATCCAAAAAGTTTAATAAAAGACCTAATAGATTATGTTGTCTGCTCTATGGTCGGGTTGTTGTCTCTTTGACACATTCCCCATTTCCATTCTCAATTTTATGAAGTTGAAGAGCATTGGGGACCCAAAATTCCAAAGAGATTTTGCCAAATACAGCTAAGGTAATCTATTCCTGGAATAAAAAATCCTTAGTTTTTTGAAAATTTCAAAGTTTTGTAAACAATATATGTTAGTGCAAAAAAATCTTAGTCCATTATATCAGTGAAATATTGAAAAAGAATAATAATCTCTGGATGCTGTCTTTGTATAGAAGAAGCGTCTGTCAGTTAAGCAAAATTCCATGAATATTTAACAAAGCTATTGACTTAAATAAAAAAGAAATTAACCCAAAACAAAGGAGTACCCCAGTAAGACCCCTTTTTGGCCCCAAAATATAGCAGTTTTACAAAATTGTTAAAATGTAAACTTTCAGCTATTTATTGAAAAGATAAGAATACTTCTGTTACATATGTATGGGCTTTTTTTTGACAATACAATGCACATGTATCGGGTACTAGCATCGTTAAATCATGCAAAATTACTGCAATCTTCACAATTAGCTAATTTTTAAACGGTTTCCGTCAAAATGGAAGTGGCCGCATTTGTGTTCAGTCTCAATATTTAGATGTATGTTGTATTTGATGATAATACATAACATATATAAAGGGTTGAGAATGAACACGAATGCGGCCACTTTCATTTTTGACAAAAAAACATCTGAAAAGTGACATTTTATGGCATATTTGATAGATTTTTTATATATATGAGCTTGAATTTTGCCGTCTTTAATGACTTAATCAGTTGAAATCTTTCACATCAACTAATTGAATCGACTGAAGAAGACACTTATGTGTTTAAAAAGTGCCCAAAATCTTTCATCAGATGTACCTGAAATTTGAGGCCAAAATTGGCCCTTACCGGACCTACTCCTTTAAATGTTGATGACACTAGAGAGAAGGATTGCTATGTCTAGCTTGGGGAACTCTAGTTGCAGGCTTGACAAATAGTAAATTGTAAAATAGGATGACTTAAGCATGTCAGTTTTTTTGTGTAATGAATTTTTATAAACTTTTTAAATTTCAAAACTCATGTCAAATTTTAGACATCATTGTTAAGAGAATACATTTTCAGATTATTCAATTGGTAGGAGAACATTGCATTCAATATCATCTAAAGTTTCATTCCAGTACACAATAAAAATATTTTTGTAAATAGGTTAATTCTTCAAACATCAGTCATTTCTTATTATATTTATTTTTCGTATCTTAGAAAGTTTTATGCTTTCATATGAAAATAAAACACTAAACACAAATAATCAATTTATAAAAGTTCACATTGCCTTGCATTAATTTAAAAAAAAAAGGGGGGGATCTTCTGTGTGTAAATTCAAAAGTCGGTAAAACAGTTTGCCACTGATTCTGATAACATTCTATTTATTTGTAACAGTATTTTGCAATCCATAGTAGAGTCATAGTACACAGCTGGTCATTTCTGGTCATTCATCTACAATATTGTGGTAATTAGACAATTTCCTGCTGTGAAGACAAACAAGTGTGTTTGAATAAAGGATGTATCAATTAGCTGTTTATTGGTAAATGTTCTGGCTATTTAGTAACCCAAAATCTGGCATTTGTTTATAATGATATAGGACAAACCCTAAATTTCATTCTAAAATTTAGGAGATATCAAATTGCACAATTTAATGGTGAAAAATACAGATTAAATTCTAAATATATAATTAGGTTGAAATGATCATCTATTTGATTACATCATAAGTCTGAAACTAATCAGATGTCAGTATTTATTTTTGATGTGTTTAAAAAGGTCATTAAGGCATCAAATATTTGTCAAACCAAATTTTCTTTGTTTTTATCTTCCCATGTGATATAATTTTCCACTGAGTGATGCTAATCATAGATGCTATTAATCCAATCATTTTGAAATTTGCACCTGATTAACATTCAACAGTTTTGTATACATGAAACAATTCAAGATAAAAATCGTAAGTTGCACATCTGTAAATGAAGACAATGCAATTTCCCATAGGAACCCCCTTTACAGCTCAAACTGTGCCACTTTCAGTATGAATTTTTATAACAAAAAATATATCCTAGAATGGAAAGTTGTTGATATGCACAACTATTTTATTCAAAAGTCTAACCATAGGGATCTGCGGCATATTTTCAACATTTACATGCCCAGAACTTCTAAGAGTTTGAACTTATACTTATAAAATTCTGTACTGCTCCCCCTTTCCCTTCATTTTGGGTCTTCCTCAGAATTCAAGTTGGCCGCTACCTATAAATATCTACCTATACTGGTAACATTCCCAAGTTATGTCTCTATGTCAGAGATAAAACATATACATTGTAGATCATATCTGGGAACGAGTACATATACAAATGTATCCCCCAAAAGAGGCAGTCTGTGAAACAGCTGTATTTACAAAGTGCAACCTACAAAATGAAATTCCATAGTATCAATATCATTTATTCTCTAAACTACTATCGCTGTATCAGACTTTTGTCCCCCTCCCCAGAAATGTACATATACATAGGGAATTAATCAGAACTCTTGTGTTTTAAACCTGGAAATTATGGGTCACAAAATATTTCTGTTCTGGAAAATCTTAATGACTACCAGTAAAAATTATATGGAAATTATTCGTCCCTTTGGAAAATACATGGAATTGCAAGTGCACTAACAGACAAAAAGTTTGGAATTTTTTGGTCCAGACAGAAAATTTCTTTGGAATTTTAGAAAAAATCAAGAAAAAAAAATCTGGAATTCCAATGTCTTCCATAGGGGGGGACAGACTATTTCTGGAATAGCCCATTACGTATGGTGCATTATCAAGCGTGTCATTCCTTTCAAGCTGATTTGCATAATTTTATAAATGTTTTGATTGTTTGAACAAAATAGGATTTATAGCGCCTTCACATTTGCATTACATGATTTTCCTATAGTCTAATTACACAATTTATAATACAATTTATAGTTTCTCATGATGTGCCAATCTAGCACTCTAAAACTGTGCTTACTTTGTATTTCATAATCTATTTTACAGGATTGGGATGTGGATTAATCTTTGGTCCGTGCTCTACTATCCTGAGTTTCTATTTTGACAAAAAGCGGGGTTTAGCAACTGGAATAATGGCATCTTGTAGTGGCATAGGCAATATGTGCTTTCCGTATATGTACAAGTATTTGATTGAAAAATACGGCCTTCAAGGCACTATTTTAATAGCTGGAGCAATATATTTCCATGTTTGTCCTGTCAGCATGTTTCTTAGACAACCAAAATATGTAACAAGACAAATACAAGAAAGGCAACTTTCAAAAGCACGACAGAAAGAAATGCAAAAATGCGGAGCCTTAAAACGAATATTTAGATTTGATCTCTTCAAAAATTCAAAATTTACAGTGTATCTTACGGCAATATGCTTACAAGCAGCAAATACTACATCAAATAAAGTTATTTTACCGGGCCATATTCGAGGTTTGGGTTTTGGTATTGAAACCATTACGCTAGCAGTTTCTTTATTCGGTGCATCAGAACTTGTAGGGAGGATATTATTAGGATGGTTTGCAGATAAAAATGTTATATCTAGAATTACCATATTTATGATTTGCTCTTTTATATATGCTGTCACAGCATTTTGCATGCCTTACTTGCCCTACAAGCCGGCCGTAATAGCTTATGCCGTTGTTATAGGAGCTTTTTCTGGATCAATTTGGGGTTTAAACCAAGTAATTATAATTGATTGTGTTGGGCTAAAACATTTGTCTCCAGCATTTGGTTTGTAGTCGATGTGTATTGGTATAGTCATATGTATAAGCCAACCAATGGCCGGTAAGTTTATCTAAGGATAAGTTTCCTGTCCGTGCATCTGTCTGCATTTAGTTTTTTAATGTTTATTTGTAGAATTAAGTAGTATTGGTAAATGATAATGATTATTGAACTTAACTATACATTCAAACCAACAAACATGCATTTCATTTGCATGTTATTTTACTCTTTTCTTTGAATGTTTACTGGTTGTAGAGTGAATGGATATTGACTTCTGTTTGAACCCAACATCATCATAACGATTTTGTTTTGTACATTACGCTGTCTCGTCGATGATTTTTGATGGAAGCTATTAATGTGTTTCGTGCATACATCGATTATTCCTCTATTCCAGATATTACAATAAGATTACCAGGAAATATGACTCGCGAGACATGTGTAACAAGATTTTTTTGCTTCCGAAACATGAGTTATTACTCTGCATGCGTGTTTCTCGGAGTGATGTTTTAGACCTTTTTTTCTTTTTGATTGATTCGGGCTTTCGCTGCCAAGCAATAGCTTTCCTTACATCTAGACGTCTTGGTAAAATTGCAAATGGTGGCATAAATGTCGATCGAAAAACAAAAATACAATTTAACACCCTGTTAAAAAATACAATCAACAGTTAAAACAATGTTTCACAGAACATTAAAGATTGGGTAATACTAAACCCATCAAAAACCGGGGCGAAGTCATGTTTTCTGGGAAAAAAAAGCAGTTTCGTCACCACTAGTGAAACCTATCGCCTTGTTTGTAACAATTAGATATCCAACGATAAGTCGGAAATATCACAAACGAGAGAGAGGGGAATGTGGCTATGACAAATGGATCATATCCGTGGTTATCTGTTGCACAGATATTCCATCACGCAAAACCAAATCATGATGGCAAAATGGATTAAATTACTCATCATTTTACAGCTGATAAATTTAAATATTCTTTGGTGCTTTTTATCTTATATTGTCAACTGTTTTGAACTTTAATTGTTTTTCTCATTTCATTATTTTTTTCAAAATAATATAAATATTATTGTTTTAGTTGACGTAAATTTGTGTTTACCTTATGTACAGGTTCGCTGGAAGATGTAACTGGATCTTGGACCTCGTCGTTTTATTTTGTTGGCATTCTCAGTTCACTTGCTGTATTATTATGCTTACTGGAACGTCCGATATCACATATCTGGTCTTGTCAGCGAGTCGTAGCAGACACAATCATTGATGTTTCATGCGATAGAGTCGATAAAATCTTTCCTGTGACTAATGAGATTAATGGACAGCAAGAGAAATTGGAGAAAGGGAGGAGTTCATTTGATGGCAACCCGAACGACCTAAAGACAAAATTGCAAGGAGAATATGTTCCGTTAAATACAATTGAGAAAGAAAGCTTTGTACTCAGAACGGAGAATGAAGACACTTTGTTGCAGCGTTTAGGACCAAACAATCAGTCTGAATCATAACACAATACTGACTGATAAACAGATAATACCTTCTATGATTATGAAAGATTTATCTGCATAATGATACACCAATGCACTGTACTGCTTCATAAGAATGTATATCGTGTTCTGGTATTATTTGTATAACGTGCCTTATGTTTCGTCCTTCTTCGACCTTTGATCCCTGATTATTCCCGTGGTATCTCCTTACTTTTGTTAAACTATGAAAGGATATGCATGTTCACACACTTTTTTTCAGGAGATAACGTCCAACCTTATTTTTAATGCCATTAAAAGATATTTGATTGGGCTTATTATGACGCCCATTGCTGAACCTAGTACTTAACTTAATCATTCATAACAATATTAATAAATATTAAACCCAATTAAAATTTTCGATTAACAACGATTAGCGATTAGTTAGAATGAAATATAGTATAATGACAAAAGAAGCAAAATATAAATAATAAGGATCAAGTACACAATATAAAAAAAGCTACATATTTATTTGTCATTTCAATCACCTCGGTTTGAACATTTACAATCACCATCTATGGTTTCATTCCAAGTTGCTTGTATATCAATTTATTTGTGTCAAATTGTTGTTAACATAAAGGAAAGGAAGGGATCTGGCGAATTATTTGTAAAAGCTAAATGGATATATTAGAATATTGACAATTTGCCGTGCCTTCATTAAAGAGTTCATGATGTGATCCAAATTATTTGTAAGCTATAGTTCCAACAGTTAAACAACGGAAAACAGAAGAAATTGCGTCCATATTACGGTAATACAAATCTTTTCATGTCAATACATTAACTTAAATAAGAAGGAATTAAAAATATGTGATATTGCTGTATATAGTCCATCGGTGATGTTTGAGACAATGTAGTTAATAAAATTACATTGTTATAGCTTTAGGACAGTGTTATATATATATATCATAATAAAACCAAAAGATAATTTACTTTATTGTCGTTGTTGTGCACTATTGATTCAAATTAATGAATGGATGAATTTATTTGCAAAAATAAAATTGAGAATGGAAACGGAGAATGTGTCAACATGACAACAACTCGACCAAAGAGCAGAAAACAGCTCAAGGCCACCAATGGGTCTTCAACACAGCGAGAAAATCCGGCACCCAGAGGTGGGCTTTTGCTGGCCCCTATACAAAAAAGGTATACTGGTTCAGAAAAAATGGACGTCACACTAAACTCCGAAACATATAAATGAACCAAAATTTAAAAAAAACATACAAGACTAACAAAGGCCAGATGTTCCTGACTTTGGACTGGCGTAAAAATGCGGAGGGGTTAAACATGTTTTTGTGAGATCTCAACTCTCCCCCTATACCTCTAGCCAATGTAGAATAAAAAAAAATATATATTATACATATATAATGACACAATGATAAAAAATAGAGACCAACACACTTGACCAATGTTAATCAATAATATAAAACCTCTGCCTTTAGTAGTTACATAGTTTCATTGGCAGCTTTTAACCATTGATCTGGTTTATAGGCAGTAGTATTTTGGTAAATAATGTGACCTTATACAAGAAACCCAATTTGTTTTACCTTTATTATCATCTTTATACAGAAGCATGTAAACATCATACAAAACACAGATTTAAGGTTAATGAACCAGATAGTCGGTATATAACAAAAACATGTATGACTCCTCAAAAGTGCTTGAAAAACAAATTAATCAACCAAAAGTATACCAATTCTATCTAAGGAACACATGTATATTGGGAGGATACCTAAACAGAAATACTTTGATAGGCATTACTTTTATATCATTCCTTCAAAGCGTACTAAAAAACTAAATATATGCATAAAACACGATTCAAAGAGTTAGGGCCAATTTCTCTTGAAATTATTTAAATAAGGAGGTTTGGTATGATCTAAAACCTTTTAGATCTTTCAATGTTCATGAAACTTGGCCTATAAATATATTTTTCTAAAAAGTAAAATCACAAAAATACTGAACTCCGAGGAAAATTCAATCGGAAAGTCCCTAATCACATGGCAAAATCAAATGACAAAACACATCAAACGAATGGACAACAACTGTCATATTCCTGACTTGGTACAGGCATTTTCAAATGTAGAAAATGGTGGATTGAACCTGGTTTTTATAGCGCTAAACCTCTCACTTGTACGACAGTCTTATCAAATTCCGTTATATTTACAACGATGCGTGAACAAAACAGACATTATAAATAAAATAGTCAAAATATGGGTACAGCAGTCATCACTGTGTTACAATATCAAAACAAACAATTATTTACAAAAAAAGCACAAAAGCATCTATCAAATTAAGACCCACCTCTAAACATTGAGCTGCTACTCAGGCAAGCACAGATAGGGAAATTGGAACCATTATAAATAAATCAAAGAAATCTCACGGTCATGTAAAATTGAGTTCATCGTATACCTATATAAAAATAAGGAGATGTGGTATGATTGCCAATGAGACAACTATTCACCAAAGCTTAAATGAAGTGGATGTAGGCAACCGTACGACCTTCAACAATGAGAAAATCCATACCGTATATTCGGCTATAATATGCCCCTACATGAAAAATATTAAACAATTCATTTGAGAAAACTAACGGCCTAATTTATAACAAAACAATTTACGAAAAACAAATATGACAGACGTGAACCAACGACAACCACTGAACTACAGGCTCCAGACTTGGGACAAGCACATAGATAATGTAGCGTGGTTAAATATATTTGTGGCGCTCAACCCTCACCTAATCTGGGACAGTTGTGTTACAGCACAACATAAGAACAAACTATAAAATTCAGCTGAAAAGGGCTTAACTCGTAAGATGGACACAAAGAAGAAAACATCTAACAAAGACACAGACCGAACGTGGCAGGGTATTAATACATCCCTATTAACTAAAACGACACCCACAAAGTACAGATCTGAGAGTACTAGCAGTTACTGACCGCTAGTTCAAAGTAAAGAACAACTAACAAAAAATGGTGTATCTATAGCACATATATCCTTATATCACCAACCATCCATCTTTTTTGGGGAGGGTTCATTTTTTTTAATAGATTTGTGGGTAGGGGGCTGTTTTTTTTTAAATAAATTGTCGATTCTAAATGCCTTCAATTTTTTTTTTTTTTTGGGGGGGGGGTTTCGATATTTGTTCCGAGGACCCTGGCACACTATTCAAAAATACAAACTAGCTGTAAAGACAATCAATGCCCGGTATTGACCGTTTCCCTTTTAAAATTATAATGATTGTTTGTACCAATATCAGGTAAATATAGTACATACATCAATTTAAACAATGGTCGAACTTGACAGCGTTACCAAAGGGGTCTTGTCGCTGAGACAATAATAAGATAAATCATATGACTTTAGTACAGAGCTCTGCAGGTCATTAATACATACTAATTAATCGTTATTATTCATTTTCATTTTACATTCATGATTGGATCATTGAAATATTATGTCATGGAAGTAAAATGAAATATGATACTTCCATGATTTCGTTTTTACTGCCATGATTAATTGCAGTCAACTGTAGATGCTCAACTAA